CCCCAAACTATCCTCCTTGTGAGCGTAGTCATTTTGCCTAGTCAGTAAATTATTTGACTCATGCCTGCATGCTGGGTCTTGTGAACCCAGGCTACATTTGGAAACCACCTCAGGTATGTGACTGTGTTTATGTCTGCTTGTAGACAGGTGGTTTCCTTTAACTTGTTGCAACTCCACATTTTCCTAAGGCAAAAATATTAACAAGTGGCTGGCTGCCTTCAAGCTGATTCAGTGGTCTCAATTTAAGAAACAGCCTACCAGTAAGTCTTAGGGCTTTTCTCCTGCCCAGTGTTCTCTCCTTAATGGCCTTGAATTCATTTCTCTTGTCAGTACACAATGTATTCATCCTTCACTTTTCCATGGGCAGTTCTCCATTTGTTCATGCATTAACTTTTTTTAAAACATACTTCCCTACTTGGTAACCTCAAGCAATTTTGGGGATATCCCTGACTTGAAGCCCATCAAAGTCTCATACTCCTGGGTTGGCAGAAGAGATGTACAAAGCAAGATTTTCCATGAGCAGTAGTTACTAATGCTAAGCACTTGTACCATGTTCTCATTCCATGTCCTTACATAGACCATACGAAGTAATTGACTTTATTCCTATTTTGAATTTAAGGAAGCTGATATAACTGAAATGCAGAGAAATCAGAATGACTTTTCCAGTGACCTGATCAGTCAGTCCCTGAAACCATTTTTTACATTGGAATCCTAAGGTAATTGGAAGGTAAAATTAGTCTCTTAGCTTTGCTCTAAAGGATTTACTGATTGAAGCAAGAGTAGGGGGCAGACCTCCAGCAGTTCTTTACTACTATATAAGCCATCACTGGGTTGATCTTATCTAAAGCCACAGAAGCATATATATCAGCTCCCTATTGCTGCTATAAAAAAACATTTACAAACTTAGTGGCTTAAAAAATACAAATTTGTATCTTATGATTCTATAGATTAGGAGTCTCACTTGTCTAAGAAGAAAAAAAATTGAAGGCAGGGATAGATTTTTTTTTTTCTAGAGGCTTAGGGTAGAATCCATTTCCTTGCCCCTTGTTCCTAGCATTCCTTGGCTCATGGCCTCCATCCAGCTTCAAAGCCAACAATAATAGATAAAGTTCTTCCCTCATCACACTGATGTTCACTCTTGTCCTTCCTTCTTCCACACGTAAAAACTTTTGTGATGACATTGGTCCCACATAGTTAATCCAGAATAATCTTCCTGTTTTAAAGTCAGTTTCATAACAGCCTTAATTCTGTCTGATACCTCAGTTTCCCTTTGCTATATAAGGTAAAATAATCAGGTTCTGGAGATTAGCATATGGACGTTTTGGAGAGATATTACCGCATCACAGTCTTTTGAAATACAATCACTGGAGGTTTTTACAGCTTTCTTTTCATTTTCAAATGAAAACAGTTTGTTGAGACTACATAATAGACTATTATAGAATGGATTGCTGCTAAACAACAAATTTCTCAGTCTGGAGGCTGAGAAGTACATGAAGAATTGTCATCAGATCTGGTGGCTAGTGAAGACTTGATTTCTTAGTACTTTCTTAATGTCCTCACATAGAATAAGGTACTAGCTAGCTTTCTGGGTTCTCATTTATAAAGGCACTAATACCAATCATTGGGACTCTTCCCTTATGACTTTCCTAATATCACCTTAGGGGTTATGATTTCAACATAGAAAGACTTGGGGAGGGCACATAAGCCTTCAGACCCCAGCAATGAGAATGTTGCTCATACCATATAAAGAAAGAACTTGGAGAAAGTAAGTAATTTGCCCAAGATACACATTCAGTGGTAAAATTAAATTCAGGGACAAAAATTAAATTCTGTGTCATTCAGAAATCAGCCAAAGGTTGAACTACAATTTTAAATATAAAAAAAGCTATTTTGGCTGGAAATTGAAAGTGAACCTGCCAGCTTAGTCAGATCCTCACTTTTGGGATGCACCTGACAAGTTTATTCCAGGCTTCTGGCTCAGTTGTAAAGCTCCAGTTTCTCTGATTAAAGACCCTCGAGGAGAGCAGGTGCTCCTAGAATTAGGCTCATTTCATTATGGAATTTCTTTTGGAGATGTCATCCACTCTCCCCAACTGTGATTATAAATTCTGTTGCTCTTGGTCAAAATTTCGTTCAGCATTAACAATGCCTTATTTTGTACAGATGCTGCACAGATAGATTGCTGTTTATAGGGATTTAGGTTTCAGTCATTAAACATTTCACTGAATGTGTTGACACTTAAATTAGTGGTACAGAGCACCACAAAAAAGTAGGCAGACTGTAAAGAAGCATTTCGTACTTGTAGCTCCCTTTCCAGTATCCTGACAGGATAGCAAAACAGTGGTTTGAATGCCCTCATTTCCTCCCTGGGGCCCCTTCCTCTCTAGGGTTAATGCTCTGAAGCCTCAAACTGGTGCTGATACCTCCTTGTGTCTGGCCCAGACCTTAGGGCTAATCTGCTGTGGGTTATCAGAACATCTTGGGTTTTTTGTTGTTGTTGTTTTGAACTCACAATGTGTATTTTAATTTCTCAAGTATAACATGTATAGTTAACATATGATAGTTCAGTACACATACATTATTACATACACTAATATGTAATATGTTAACATATAATACATGCTAATACATCTAATTATATAACTTATACACAAAGCAAATGTATGATGCAAATAATATACAAATAAACTTCATGAAGCGTGCTCTTATTGGTAGCTTAGATTTGTGAAGTGTTACTAGAAATAATGGTAACCTATTTCTTAAATAGAAGAAATCCTTTTGTGGCTTTACTCAGGATGGCAAATAAAAGGGAGGGGAGCAGGGGGAAGAGGCTGCATTTGACAGGCTGAATTAATTGTACATTGTAAATTATTATACTTAGTAAGATATGTGCCAAGATAAAGGACATCTCAGTTTCATCCTCCTTACGCCTTTATAAATATATGAGAGAAGGACTTGTCTTATGATTGGAAAATGGAGAATCAAAAAGATGAGCCATTTACCATGAGCCGTAGAGCTAGTGATCAGGAACCTGTGTTTACAGAGAAAAATGTGAAATGATCCACTACTTGAAAGAAGGAATTAAGACAGTAGTCAGCAAGTATCACATGTATATAACATAAAGCAAAATGTAATACATGTTATTCCTTAACTTTAAAAAGTTCAAAACAAAGATAAGAGTAACAAAGCAAAGGTGTGGGGAGAGGCAGTAGTGGTGGTGGTAGTAGTAGTAGCAGTAGTAGATAGAGTGTTACTGCATGGACCTCCTTGGGGTATAGCCACTGAATGTCTTTGTAACCCTGCTTTCATAATCACAAGTTGAAATGTTGCTAATACCTGACTCACTGAAGACTGAAATGAAGGCTGAGTTGGAGGTGAGGATGTGACACCATTTTCTTGATCATTCTTTCAAACAGAAAAGCATCTGTTGACACAGGATGGAGCAGTCATTTGTCCTGTTATTTGTGTCCAGCTGGAAATCTGGAAATGCTTTGGGTTAACTTGGCCTTTGCCAGAGACACATAGGCTTAATGAATTAGAAGGATAAGGACAGGGTTCTCATTATTCCAGAGTATTAAGTCTCAGCTCCAAGTGAGGTGACTTTGGTGCCAGCTAGTGTCACTGTGTAGTATGTAGTAGAGTGAAAATAGCCAGTTAATTTTGGTTGGTAGACATACCATCTGTGTAAAGGGGACTAGTAAAATGAATTCTCAATTCTGTCCCCCACGCTCCCACCACAGAAGATGACATCAGATTATCTACCTTGCCTGATGGCTTTCCCTTGTCCTGTCCCTCCCTGTCCTCCTCTGTAGAAAAGATGGGATGGTCTTTCTTGATATACCCATGAATTCAAGTTCAAAAAAAAAAATTAATATTTGTAAAAAGTTTCAAAAAACCACAGCTTTCTTGTGAAAACTTCTGATAAGAATTTCTAAATTACTTGGACACTGGGTTAATTTTAGCCCCTATTCTAAGTTCAAAAAAACCTGGCTGGTTTTACCAGCCATGGCTCAAGCCCATAATCCTAGCTACTTGGGAAGATTTTGGCTCAAGGCTAGCCCAGACAAAAAGTTTGTGAGACCTCATCTTAACCAATAAAAAGCAGGGCATGTGGGGGTGTGTGCCTGTCATCCAACTATGCTGGAAAACATGAATAGTAGAATCACAATCAAGGCTGGACTGTGCATAAAGTGAGACTCTTATCTTAAAAATAACCAAAACAAAAAGGGCTAGGGGCATGGCTCAAGTGGTAGAGCACCTGCCTAGCAAGCATGAAGCTCTGAGTTCAACCCCATTAACTAAAAAAAGAAAAGCGTTTACCAAAAAACTTGAACTAAAAGACTTAAGAGTGGTAACTAGTAGAGGAACAAGCTAAACAATGCAGCAAGAGACAAATTCCCAGATGTGGACAGCTTCTTAAATGGATCGATGGCCTATTAAAATAAAGGCAGAAATTACTCTTAATTTAGAGACATGGCAGTCAAGTGCAAGGTAAAGACCTTGTTTGGACCCTAAATCTAACAAAGTTTTTTATGACATCAGAGAGATTTGGATATGGTCTGAGTTAAAGCTTAGGATTTGCAACCATGAGAAAGCTAACAAAGCAAGTTTGACAAAATTTTGGGAATTTGGGAATCTGCGCCATGGGTATATGTAATCTTCTGCATCTGTGCTGGTGAAATATTTTTATATTGACTTCATAACTGTTTACCTGCCCGCCCTGGGCCCATGGTTGACTTGTATTCACAATTCCAGATGGTCACACTTTAATTCCTACTGAGGAGCACGTTGCCACAGGTCCAGAGCCTGAAAAGCCCCATCGCATAGCATCTTGAAGCTACTTTATAACAATTGCCTTCATCTTATTCACAGCTGCTATTGATTCTGGAATGAAGACCAAGATGTTGCCTAGACCTAGTTCACCAGTCTTCAGAGGATGGAGAAGTGGCTTTAAAAAAGAAAAAAAATCAAAAACCTTTTGTTTTGTTTTGTTTTTGTAGGACCTCCATAAGGCCTCAGACCTTCTATGATGGAAGTCACTCCTGTTCCAGAGGAGTGTGCCATATTCCAATGGCTGAACCATTTTGCCCTAAAACGAGAGAGGTTTGTAGTCTTTCTGGAAGGTGTACCAGAATACAGCATAAAGGCTTGAGGTGGTGTCTCAGTTAGATCAGTTGGCTGAGAAAGTGGGCCCTCTTTGTCCCTCGAGTTTGCTTTGTATTAAAGGTCTTAGGAAGAGTTCTTTCCCTCTACTAATAATACTCTCCATCGTTGTACGCCAGAGCACTCAAAGTTGCAACCTATCTTTTTTTCATGTTTCAGTTTTGCTGTCAGGATAACTTTTGCTTTCAATACCAGCATATCTTTCATATACTCATGAAGAAGAATTGTCACAATGAATTGTCAAGTGGCAGGCAAGATGCACAATGGTTGTACCATATACTACCATTTGTGTTACGAATCTGTGTGTATATAGAGATAAGTATATAAATACTTAGAAGCAAATAGAGTATTTCTAGAAAGCTAAAACCTTGTAACAGTGCTTGGAGAGATGAATTGGATTCCTATGAAAGATGGGAGAAATACTTTTCCAAAACAACATCTTTTTGCACTGTTTATGTTTTGTACAATGTACATCTGTTACCTGATCATTTCAGGAGATAATCTAAAAGTCCTGAGACATTAAATAGATTTAGCCTGGTCATCTAGTACTCTTAGTCCCTTTGTGAGGACTGTGGTGACTTCAGTACATCTGTGATTACCCAACACAAGCAAGTGAAATCATCTTAACCTCAGAACTGAATTCTTACTCTGTGGTTTGTTGTTATTGTTGTTTTGTTTTGGTTTTTTTTTTTTTTTTTTTCTTATACCTTAAGATGCTGTTATCTATTCTAGTGGGAGTACAAGGTTCTGGTTTAATTGGTGAGGCCCCCCCAGTGTCTGTCATTTGGGTCAACACATAAGTCTCATTTTCCTCCTCCTCACAGTTATGATATCTGCCTCCCAGGGTGATGGTGAAGATTTAACCTGTCACAGGCCAGTGGTGCATAGTGGCTATGATCTTTCTTTACACATGTCTAGCAGCACTTTGAAGTTTATCCAAAACATGTATAGCTCCATTGTTCTTTGAAGACACTTCATGAAGGCAGGACTAGGTTGGTTGCTTTAACTTTGAAAAAAAGAGAGGGGAGAGGAGATAGATATTTTGGACCCTTGCATTTATAGCCAACTCTTTAGGGAAAAGTTTTAATTAAATGAGATCTTACGTTCAGTATTTATATAATAAATACGATGTATAATGAACCGCTCATTTTCCACTGCTTGTCATGGTTCTTTGGGGTTGCCAAGTCTCTTGTTAAAATTCTTTTTCCAGTTGCCATGGTATAGTATGACCTATTTGTAAGGAAATAATGTTAGGTTAATTTGCTTATGTGGTTAAGACCACGTGCAGGTAAAACTTAGGACTCTTTTGGCACCTTCTTTTGACTTTGAGTCATTTCATTTTATATATCTGATATCCCAGGGACCTTTGCCAATTATTTGATAAATGTGTAGAAGCTGCCAGTGCTAATAATCATTAAAGGACCAGTTTAGCATATACATAAATGCCTATAATAGTCCCAGCACAATTCTGTGCTACTATATACCTTACCTTAGTTAATCTTTAATCTCTTCACACTCTGAATTACCCAGTATTATTATTCCCATTAATTAAAAGGGGATGTTGAAAGCTAGGTATGGTAGGACATATCAGCTATATGGGAGGCTGTAGGAGGATCATGTTCCAAGCCCAGACCCATGCAAAAGTGTGAGACCGTTTCTGAAAAATAAAGCTAAAGCAAAAAGAGATGGGAATGTGATACAAGTCATAGAGTGCTTACCTAGATGGTGTGAAACCATGAGTTTAAACCTCAGTACCACCAAGAAAAAAAAAAAATACTCAAAACAAGGGGGGAGGAGGGATCTTAGCAAAGGCTAAGAAAAAAATGAAAACAATTAATAACCTGAAGATAGATGTTCATTATTAATTAAAACAGTGGACAAAATGGTAAAACTTCCTAAAAACTTGTGTGTGACCTTACATTAAAGAAATGCTAAGATAAATTTATTCTTGGACAGAAAAATTATATACAAACTCATTCTAATTTCATCCTATGTGCTTGGAGTGACAACAGGCAAGAGAAATCACTTTCTAACCAAAACAAAGCTTTCCCAAAGGGAACAGTTTCAATATAAAACAGAATTCAACATTAATTTCTCAGAAGCTTAGGGAATAAAACGCAACACAACTCTTTAAGGAGACATGAGTGATGAGACGCCTCTTAACTGAGCCTAAAAGATCAAGAGCTAAGGCTCAAATCAGAATTCATAGCCTATCTTAGTCTCCTAAAGTTGTTAAAAAGTGAATAGTAGTAAAGCACGTAGAACATCTGGTGCAGAGATGTCTCATGTTTGCTCTTGTAGCTGTGAGCTCTATGTGCAAAGTCTGGGAGAAGAAAGGATTGTATAGATGTACAGGGTTAGATAATACTTTTCTGTGGTCTTCTGGGTTCTCTCTTGAGGGCAATATAGTCAAAAAAAACCAAAAAAGTATGCAATGAATTTACTAAACATTAGGAAAAAATAAATTTTCATACTCTGCATATATTTGTATGTTTTGAGCTTTTGGTTTTCCTTTTTTTAGGTCCTCATAGAGACTGCTAAGAAGCTAGGACTTCGCTGCCACTCAAAGGGGACAGTGGTCACAATTGAGGGGCCTCGTTTTAGCTCCCGGGCAGAAAGCTTCATGTTCCGCACCTGGGGGGCGGATATTATTAATATGACCACTGTTCCAGAGGTGATTCTTGCTAAGGAGGCTGGAATTTGCTATGCAAGCATTGCCATGGCAACAGATTATGATTGCTGGAAGGAGCATGAAGAAGCAGTAGGTGGAATTCTCTTCTGAGCATGTGGTGTGGGTTTGAGTGTCTTGAGCCATTAAGAGAGCTCTTAACTATTTATTTTGCATTTGTTTCTGATAGAGCCTTTCTGCAAAGTTAGGTTGTCATTAGGTATTACCACATATTGTCTATAGATCCCACTGGAAGATAAGAACAAAGATCTTTTTAGAAAAAAAAGGACTCTTTTGTTCAAGAATCAATAGCGAAAGAGTACATTCTAGGCATGTAGATGCATTAGTAATCATTGAGAGTTGAGCTTTAATTTAAGGATAAAGATATATTTTGATTATAATTTCCTTGTACTATGTTACATTTATTGCACTTATTTTCAAGAGGGAAAAAAGATTGCCTCTTCCTGGGAAGAAGACTGTCCCTATCTGTTTAGCCTACCATAGCTGGATGCTGTGCTCAGCATAAGAATGAAACAACAAATAAAAAAATCCTCAAAGAGCCAGATTGTGTTTAAGGAGAGTAGAGGTTAAACAAACTGGTATAAGAAAACTAAAGCATATGAAGAAACACTGTGAGATACAAAAGTACCTATCCAATTGACCAAATCAAGTACTTGAAGTCTGAAAGTGCTTCTTTTAAGTGTGATGAGAAAGAAGGGCATGATTGAAAGGAGTTGAGAGTAACTAAAAGATAGGGGCAGGGGCTGAGCTATAGCAGGGCCATGCACTACAGTTAAAGATTTCAGGTTCAAGGTCAATTCAGGGTGTTATTCAGGGAAAACAATTCTAGCAAGTCCAGCTAGAATTTGAGGACACTGGAACTCTGAGGTGAGGCTTCCAAAGTGAACATTTTCATTTTGGAAAACCTTAAACATCATGAAACCCATTAGCCACCTTCTATAATTATCCATACCCTTACCTATTTCTCCCTCCCGTGCCCTCATTTTGAAATAAATATTTTTATTAAAGTCCTCTTTTAGTTAAAACCAAACAAAAACAAAACATAGACACACACCATTATTGTACTAAGAAAATGACTTTCTTACTATAATCAGATATCCAGACTTTTTACATTTTCTTTCTGATCTCATAATTTTCAAATCAGGATCTCTTATAATCCATACATTATATGTTAATGATATGCCTCCAAAGTCTTTTAATCTAATATTCCTTCCCCTCTTCATTTCTTACGTTTTACTTGGGAAGAAAAGTTTAAACAAAATCATTTGTCATTTTAAAATATAGAAAGGTACAAAACTACAGTGAAAGAATTTTGAAGGAAGATATATAAGGGTGATTGAGCACATTTAGGGGAGGTGACTCTTTCTCCAAAGAGGCTCTAACCATTGTGTCAAAGAGTTGATTATTTCATACCCAGTTTCGCATAAAACAAGGTTAGATATTCTTGCCATCTTTTGTCCATGTGTACAGTGTTTTGGGACATAGATGAACCCAGATTTTTTGTTTTTAATGAATGCTTTATCCTGATTCCTTGGGGTGATACACTATTGCTAAGTACCAGGATACCTTTTATGTAAGAGATTTGCAAATACCACTTAAGTCACACCATGGTAGTTGGTTTGGCAGTTTTGTAACCTAAGGGACAGTCCAGCCTCATAATGTTAAGAAGATGCTTCCAATTTTTAGGAAACTTAAGCCCTTGCCACTTCCTGAGAGCTAATTGTTTCCTGCCTGTAGCTTTCTGCTCGGTCTCAAAACATACATCTTCTTTGCAGAAGAGGTTGGAGAGCAGTCAGTCAGAGCTACTTCATTCAAAAGCAGAAAAACAGCTCTGTGTAAGAGGAAAGACATGAAGTCAAATACGGTAAATACCACAAGAAAGACACACGTGAAAATAACATCAGTTCAGCCAGCCATGTGTGTCACTGTGCTTTAAACCAAATGTGCTGCCTCGCATGGCAAGAAGCTTCTAGAGTTGCTTAAACCCACTCCCAATTTTAATTGCCCTATTTCTTTGTGGCACTCTGCAATGTACTTATCCTGTTCACTCTTCTGTGGGATGAAGCCAGGTAATGGAGTTGAGGGTAGGAGTTACTCAGTTATTATTCCGACCTTGAAGGATCTCTGGGAGAATTAAAGTAAGTAGTACATGTAGAACAGTAAGCTCATAGGAAGATGGTAACCACACTGGAGTGGGGGGAAAGGGAGTAGTAACAAAGTTTGCCAAGAACATAACTTTTAAGGTTTGAGCTGGACCTTGAACAGAGCGTTAAATTTCTGCTGTGAGTCACAGGTTAGTAGGAAGGGCATTTTGGGTGGAGCCCAAGAGGGCAAGAACAAAGAAAAGAGAAGTCAGGGTCTATGCAGATATATCAGTCACAGGAAAAGTATATGGGAATAAGTAAAAATAAGGTCAATCTCCTGGACACTTTATGTCCCTGCATTTAATGACTTAGCTGAAACAATGCCTTTGCGTGTATTTGGCAAATGCCCAGCTGGCCACCACTTTGTGTCACATAGTAATAGGAACTTCCCTCTGCGATGGGGCTTATTTTTGTCTAAGCACATCTATGTTGTGGGAACCATCTGGACTTACACTTAAGCAGTTAGAAAGATAGAATCATCTTAACAGTAGACTTCCTCTAAGCATAGTGAAGCATGACAAGTATTCTGCCCCAGGGGTCAGTTTTATATTCACTTGTTTCCAGCTTTCCCTCATGAAGCAGTTTCAGTCATATACAAAAGTGGACAACAGTATAAGCATCCAGGTGTCTCCACATCCAGCCTTAACCATGATGATGTCAGTTATGACCGATCACATTTCATCTAACCTCCCTCCCATGACTTTAATCCAGAAACATTTCAGAGAGTTCTAAAATAACAGTACTAAATTATGTTCTAACAATAATTAATACATACATCCGAACAAAATTCTAGTTTCCAGTTAAATGTCATAAATGACTTTTTTCCTGCAACTTTTCTAGCATGTGTATAATGTACACTTGCTCGTAATCCCAGGACTTACAAGGCAGAGGCAGAAGTTTTGTGGGTTCAAGGTCAGCTTGGACTACGTAGTGAAACCTGTCTTAAAAAAAAAAAAGACAAAATTTTCTAAAAAAACAAAACCAAGGTCTATTGAGTTCCCCCAGTATGAATCATTGAAAGCTCCTTAAAAAATAGTTTTAATGGGTTTCTTTATCCTCTAGTTTCTGTAAGTTGGTAGCTATATATAGTTGATAAAATTCAGGTATCATAAATAAATGTTTTGTTTTTCCATCTGGATACACAAAATGAGTGGGATTTTTTATTTGGAGTTTTTTTGTTTGGTTGGCTGGTTGATTAGTTTGTGATGTTAGTAGCTAATTCATTAATTTAGCTTTTAAGATTCATTAAAATGGTGATACATTGGTTCCATGAGGTTCTTCTTTATTAGTTAGAATACCTTTCTTGAGAGAAAGTACTGCTTTTATTTAGTTATCCAATGTAGCAACAGTTTTAAGACTGGAACTTATTCTACTGTGAATGGGGAGAACAGCTTTACTTTTAGACCATGCTAACCCATTGTATGTCGGATATACTTTCTCAGACACCATATTGAAATCTGTCAGTACTTTTCAGAGGTACCATTGGGTTTCTCTAAGACCTCTCCCCTAGGACTAAAATCATCTTGATAAATGCAGTGTTTGAACTCAAGGGATTGAATTTAGAATAAATAGACTCTATAGGTCAGATTTGTCTTAGTCTCTTTGGGCTGCTCTAGCAGAAAATCCCACAGACCAGATAGCTTCTAGACCAAAAAAGGTTTATTTTTCACAGTTCTAGAGATTGGAAAGTCCAAGATCAAGCCACTGGCCAATTCTGTGTCCAGTGGGATCCCACTTCTTTACGGACGTCTGGTGTTAGGGAGCTCTCTGTGACCTCTGATCCCATTCATGAGGACACTGTCTTTATGACAGAATCACCTCCCAAATGTCCCATTTCCTAAATCTGTCACATTGAGGGTTAGATTTCAACAGATGAATTTGATAAAGATACATTCATCCCATAGCAAGGTTGGAACTCAGGAAAATGTTATTTGCAAAGCAATAGGCTTTTAAATTCTAGTAAAATGCTGTGCTGTTATGTCTCTAGGTTTCAGTGGACCGGGTTTTAAAGACCCTGAAAGAAAATGCCAATAAAGCCAAAAGTTTACTGCTCACTACCATACCTCAGATAGGGTCAATGGAATGGTCAGAAACTCTCCATAACCTGAAGGTAAGTGTTCTCAGCCATCTCGAAGCAGACACTTCTATAAAAACTCAGCTGCTTTTTTTTTTTTTTATTTTCCCTCTTACTTGCATTTTTACCTTTGGTCTATCTGCTCAAGTATTTTGTGCATTTCAAGAAATTTTTATGCCTTTACTGCTATACCAACTCTACCAACCACTTGTGAGATTGAGCAATCGTATTTTCTGGCTGATGATGAAAGACCACTGGAGGCTGAGGTCAGGAGATTTAGTTGTATCATCTAGTGTCCCATATTCTTGAAGTTGTACTGGAATGTATCCTTACTTTTACTGCAGAAGATTGACAGTGTGTCCTCTACATACTGCTTACATTGTTTTCAGAACTATTTTTATTTTGGTAAATTCATTCAAAATGGTGGTGAACCATTAAGGCCAAAACTTTAACATAGCACAAAAATGGTGCCAGGGAATATCTGCTTATGGTCAATGTTGCATCAAACTAAGACAGTAATTGATAATCATAAGGCAGGATGCAGATTGATAGCTTTCCACGTCTAGTATTAATTCCCAGAATATAATTTAAGCTGGCAGCTAAGGTTAAAGTGCATGATTTTTATTCGGACATTTTGTGATTCTCTTGATTAACAACATTGTTCGGTTTCTACCTTCTGTTGGTATCTAAAGGGGGTATGTATTAGGGCTGGGAATGTGTCTCATGTGGTAGAGCACCTGCCTAGCAAATGCAAGGCCCTGTACTGCCAAAAAACAGGGTATATCTTAGTCTGCTAGAGCATACCTATATTCTGTCTTATGACAATAGATGAAAGAGGATTTGAAAGGTTGATGGAGGCCCTCCTTACCTGAATTACCACCATGGAGCTCAGGAATGAGAACCACATTTTTAGTGTGATGAGGACACTATGTGGTCATAAGTGATTTATAATGCTTGCTGATTTACTTGGTATAAATGCTCTAGCATAGCTAATTTGAAACTACCAACAAGAAGTTACTGTGAAGGTGGGAAGCAGCACTTGCAAGCTAGTGCAACAGGCTCCAGCACACCACTGTGACTACAGTTACTCACCCACGCCTGGCAGAGTCAGGAAGATAGAATTCATGATCTCCCTTCCCTTCGAGGAAACACATCTGTTAGTTTCAACACTGTATACCTAGCACGTAAATGGTATTTAATGAATAAATGATAGTCCCTTTCCCCTGTGAAGTATTTTTATCCTAGTTGAAATACAGGAAGCCCTTATTATTATTCTCTATGATGAAAAGGAAAACAAAAAAATCCTGCAAATTTTTGAGCGTTGGTTTAAATGAAAAACAGGCTTTAAAACCAGTTACGTTTAGCTGAGTACACTGAGTATAAAGCAGTTGGGCAGCACAACTATAGTGTGTAAGAATCACATGGTGGTTTGCTGGAAGTGTCGCTCATGTTTGCTGCTACAGAGCCAGTGTTACCTGCAGGGTGGAATAGAGGTGGGAGATTTTGGCTCTTCAGCTAAACCCACTTCTACCAAGGTCTCGAATTTGAAGATAATTTCCTAAGTGAAAATGCTTGGATGACAGTAATCGATGTTGTTTTGGGGAAGTTTATGAAATTGTGGCATTGTGAAGAGGGTTAGTTAGTATGTATAGTTTTCTTCAAAGACACTTAAAAAATGAGGAATTGCTGCTACAGACAAAATTGAGTATTGTGGCCTCCATTCTGGAGTATTAAGGAACACTTAATAATCCCTTATTCTGGATAGTATTTCATCTTCTAAGCACTGAAATGTACATCATTTATTACTCACTAGTTCACTTCAGAAACACTGTATGCCTTCTATGTCAAGTTCTGGTTTAGCTTCCCAAAGACTTCCCATAATGATAAAGACCCATTCAGACACATTAAAATTTTGATTATATTTTTTTCCACAGGGAGATTATGATAAGGGCTGAACCCAGCATGTAAAGTGGGTGAAAGTGAGTGATTATCAGAACAGTCCTTTGAGAAGCCTTTTTAACCTCATTTTATAGGAAAGGAAAGTCATGAACCAAGCATTAAGAGTTGTGCCTGCCAGGTACAGCAGCTCACACTTGTAATCCTACCTATTTGGAAGGTGGAGATCAGGAGGTTTGCAGTTCAAGGCTGGCCCAGTCAAGAAATTCTTGAGACACCACCCCCATCTCAACCAATGAAAGTTGGACATGGTGGTGCATGCATGTTATCCCAGCTAGGAGGGAAGTATAAATAGGAGTATTACAGTCGCTGCTAGCCCAGGCATAAATGTGTGAGACCCTATTTAAAAAAAAAAAAAAAAAAGGAACTCATGGTAGAGCACCTGCCTAGCAAGCACAAGACCATGAGTTCAAACTCCAGTACTGGTATTAAAAAAAAAAAAAGTTGTACCTAAAGTCTCACATCTGGTTAGTGATTTTTAAATGTTGGCAAACATGAAAATTGATCTGGAGAATTTATTGAAGGTGTATGTCCCGCCAGGAACCCAGCTGCTCACAACTCCTCACCCTCCCTCTGATTGGGACTGTCATCAGAATCATTGGCTCCTGAGTTCTGAAATGAGCCATGCTGCAAGCTTCATGTCCTATGTAAAGAATCTATCCTCTCACTCTCTATGCCCCAGTAGCTCCCTAGTTAGCAGCACATGACTTGCTGGGTCCTGCCCCCCAGTGAGTGTTTATGGATAGGTGGGAGTGCTTCCAGCAGCTCACAAGCCAAGAGTGTAATCTGTCAGAGCTATAATGGGGCTAGAGCTATAGCAGTCCCTCAGGCCTCCAGGAGCAAAGGCCATGAAACATAAATGAAGGTGAATATTCATAGTTAGTTTACTGAGTGCCAACTATTAATCCTTAGGTATGTCAGGCAGAGGAGGCAGCACAGAGCAAATTTTACCAAGCATAATTGGTCTTCTGATTCACAATTATCCTGGAGCTGCAGGCCTCTACACAGCCAGAACCTGGACTCAGGCCAGCAGAAAGGGTAAGGGCTACTCTCTGGGAAGTCCAAATGCTCAGGGACCTCCTACCCTGAGATCCTTCCCTATGATGATAGGGCTGTGGAAGGAAGGAAGGCGTGCAACCCTGCTCCAGAAAATCATCCAGGGCCCCACTCTACCCATATCTGAAGAAGGTAGGAAATCCCTTTGAGGCAAAGCCCAGTCCTTCCACTGGCACATTGGCAGGTGGGGCACCAGGTAGCCATGGACTCAGCTCAGATCTGCTATAGCCAGGAGCAAGGACCAGGGTCTGCTCTGCCCTCCATTCAAGGCCCAACATATCAGGATTCTCACAGCTATATAGTGGGATTGGAAATGGGTGCCCAGGATGCTGAACTGGGAAGACTTGGGGGGTGCTGCCAGAGAGTAAAAGGAGAGAGGTAGATGCTGTGGTCATCTTCACTTCACTGAGGAGACTAAGGTGCAGAGTGGAGTAGGGAGGAAGGCTGAGCACAGCAGGGTCATTCAACTGTCTGATATCCTGAGGCCTGCAAGAAAGAAGGGTGACCTCCCATCACAGGCAAGTGAGGGGTTTCAGGTGGGGTTTTGTTTTTTCACTCTGCCTCTTTTCTTTTTTTTTTTTTTTTTCCTTCCTTTTATGAAAAATTTCATCTAAAAACTATTAGGTCAGGCCAAGCAAGGTTAGCATTTGCACCAGAGGTTCAGGGGATGCCACAGTGACCCTAAGCTGGACAGGGAGTCGCTACCATGGTGAGTCAGGCAGATGAGGTGACAAGGAACCCTCGTGGGAATAATGGAAAGAGACTGACTATGCACAGTCAAATATGTAAATATACTGAGTATAATAGGATCAATGCTTCTCACCTTAGGGACAAAGGAGTTACCAGAAGGGCAGGAGGGAAAGTTAGAAGGAAGCCAAGATAAAAATCTAAAGTATCAGTGTGAAATCACGGTTTTTAGTATACAGACTGTCCCTAACTTGTGGTTTTTCAGCTTGATAGTACAAAAGTGATAGGCATTCAATTTTAATTTGATCTTTTCCCAGATTCATTATAGGCAGTATAATACTCTCTGAAGCCAGACTGGACAGTAGCAGTAAGATGAAGCTCCCAGTCAGACACAAGATCACTGCACTTTACAGTGCACTGTGTTCCTAGCAGGCACATTTGGAGATTGGGAGTATGACAGTTTATGATGGGTTTGTTGTGATGTAATACCATCGTGAATCAAGTAGTATCTGTAGGTATAGACTAAGTGGAAGAGCAAAAATAGAGATGTAAATCAGCCTCTGGATCAATGGATCTATATTCACATATTCCTTATCATAGTCTACTGAGAGCTCCCAGGAACAATGATAATCTAAGAGCTAAAAGCATATCTTGTATACCCAGTGCTTGATTTCTAAATATGCTTATTCACTAAAATGAGCCAGGGCTTCTTGGAGAAATAATTGATTCCAGGACTGGGTCAGGAAAGTAGAAGATGAACCTGGGGACACCTTGTCATCCCAAAGGCAAGTAGGTACATAAAGAACAATGGGGCATATCAAAAGGACACAATTACCATCCTGAAATAACCCCCACCCCAAAAAGAAAAAAAAGAGTTTGTCCATCAGTCCTCACTCTAATCCACAAAAATCAAAATCTGGAGGTTTTTTGTTGTTTTTTCATCTGTTAAAGCAAGCAACCCAGATAACTAGTGCCTGCAGCACTTGTCATCTCTACCTACTTTCTTCCTTTCAGAATATGGCCCAGTTTTCTGTTTTGTTACCAAGACATTAAATAGCATGGCTGCCAACAAGAAAAGAAGACTTTCTACTTCTAGTCATTTTGCTTAACCTGGAGAAAAAATAAAATGGGAAAGACGTGTAGCTTTCATGTGCTTACCTTCAAAAGAAGAACATGTGGTAAGAAAGACAAGATATTGCTTATATTAAAAACTCCCATTCAAAAGAGTTGGACTGCTTCAGGACACAGAAGAAAAACAAATGCCAGTACACATGGGAAAATCTCACATTTTAGAGAGAAAAACAAGAAGATACCATTCTCACCTCCCCCAGTTAAATTTGCAACAATAAAGATTGTGGGAATATCCAGTTTTCTGTGTTGCCAAGGAATATATAAGAAAGAAATGGGACTCTGGCTGTTTACTGGTGTGACCATAAAGTAGCACAATCTTTCTGGAGGACAATTTGGTAAGATGCTTCAGAGGCTTAAAAGTTCTTAGGCACTTTGTTGAGTACTCCTAGGAATGTCTCTTTAAAAAGTTACCAGAGACATATACAAAGAATTACAAATAAGGAATGTTTAGTAGTGTTGCTTATAATAGCAAATATTCAAAATAATCTGAATACCCAACAGTAAATTATAGTTTAATTATAACTTGATTGTGAATATCATATTTTCATATAATATTTAACGTCCAAAAGAAATGGTTACTTTATAATATGAAAGGAAAAAGTACATAAGCCTTTTTCAGTGCTAATTTTAAAATGCTGTGGTAATGTACAAAAAGACTGGAAGGGAATATATATAATGTTTGATTATATTTGGGAGAGGGATAATAGGTCAGTTTTATTTTCTTTGAGTCTTTCTGTATCTTCACATTTTTCTATAGGAGTGTAATAAAATAGTCAAGTTACAAAATAAAAATGGACTTCTCAAGATCAAGTTCTTGAAAACAGTTTTGGTAATGAAAGAAAAGTTAGATGACAGCATAAAGAAGAGCGTCATTTAGGAAAGTTAACATTTTTATTCACTTAAAAAGAAGGATTATTGGTGACCAGAGAGTCAGAACAATACTTGGGTTTGCAACAGCTGCCTAAGAAAAGCTGTGTGTTTACTACTGAAGTAGTGTAAAAGTCAAATTGCTTCAAAAATTAGATACATATGTATCAGACATTTTTTAAATTAATACTTGTTTCTACTGCTTTTTATGAGTTTACAGGTTACTTTACATGAGCTGGTAATTTTTGTTTTTTAATAAAAAGAATGAAAGCTTTTTCCCTAAACTTTTTATCATTGATTTTATAGGAATTCTTTTGTTTTCTTAAATTTTCTTTCATGGGAAGGTATATATATATATATATATTTTTTTTTTTCCCCCTCAGAATTATTTCTCCCTTTTCTGGTCTACAGTATACATGAACAATCAGAATACAGGATGTTTTGTTTAAAGAGTCTGTGAGGTCACATGTTTGTGTCTATGAGATTGACTCCAAGATAATAGGCTGCTATTTGTAAACAAATAAACAGTTACTCTCCTGTGCTACTGTTGCCATTTGGACTATATATAATTATGACTCTTTGACTCCCTGAAGCAGTGGTTTCAACTCTGGTTATTAGAGATCTGTGGAGAACCTGAGAAATGTGAACCAGTGTTCTCCAGGTCTAACCCATGATTGTTTTCACCATACTGTGATACACTCAGTACCTTAGTTTCCCTCGTTCTTAGTAGGTATGTGAGAATGTCAAGGCAAAAACATTGGCATTTGTCTTGCTGTCTTTACAAAATAGATTTCTCTTCAATTTGGAGAGGTACTTTTCTTGATTCAGTAGTACGTTCTAGCAGCTTCATTTGCAGACTTGTCAAATAAATGGAGTTATTCCTGGTCTTGGGGGTGGGGCCTGATAGTTTGCATTTCTAAAAAGTTATAAGTGATGCTGCTAGTCTGGAAACACCAATTTGAAAACCACTATCATAACTCTTTCTGCAGTTTTACTCTGGCTATCACGCCTTTCATAATCTATTTTGCCCCATTTGTTGGATTGTTTCATCACACAAATATGTTTTATTTCCCCATTTGTGTGTGTGTGTGTGTGTGTGTGTGTGTGTGTGTGTGTGTGTTTTGCTAGGGGTGAAACCTAGGGCCTCATGCATGCGAAGTATGCATCACCAATCCTCCATTAAAATTCTGTCTTATTATGCTAAAGATGTAGCTCAAGTGGTAGAGTGCTTGTCTAGCAAGCATGAAAGCATGAGTTCAAACCCCATTACCACCAAAAAGAAAAAGTGATTTTTTTTTTTTTTTTTTTTTTTGCCTTTCATTGCCCCTTGAAGAGTTACGTGTTGTCACTGTCACTGATTCCTCTTTTTTTCTTTAGTTCAGTCCAGTTGAGATTTTGGCACTGTCCTATCTCCAGCACCACCAAAATTATTTTCAAGGTCACCTTGTTACTAAGACTCATGGACAGTTTTTAGACTTCACCCTTTCTAATTTTGGTATACTGGATCCCTACTTCCTTGAGAAGTTCTCACTTAGCTTCCAGTGTCACTACATCTTGCTTTGCCTTCTACCTCAGCAGTTGATGCTTCTCAGTCTCCTTTGCTGGTTGCTTGTCCTTTCCTGGACCTCTTTAAAGTTTTTTGAAACAGGGTCTCACTGTGAAGCCCAGGCTGCCCTTGAACTCTCAATCCTCCTGCCTTAGCTCTGAGAATTGGGATTACTCGCATACGCCACCACACCCAGCTTTCTGTGATCTTTTAATATTCCCTGTCCTGGGACTCCATCTTACCCCTCTGCCTCTTTCAGCACTGTCCCACCTCAGTTATTGACAGTTTCCATCCTTCCAGCTCCTCAGATCGAAACTTTGGAGTCTTTGGCTCTTCCTTTCAACCCTCCAAGAAACTGCATTGTAGCTACTGCCTTCAGCCTAGTCTGAGCCAGTATTACCTTGCACCTGGACACTACAATAGCCTATCAGGCCTTCCTGCTTCTACTCTTGCTTCCTAACACAGCCCAGGATGCAAAATCATCCTTTGAAAACATACATCATTCCTCTGCTCAAAATCTACTTCACTCATTGAAAGTCCAAATCCTCACAATAGCTCTTGAGACCCTACATGATCTGCACTTGCACCCTTATCTCTGATTTCCTTTCTCAGTTCTGTTCTAATTCACTGTGTTCTAGCCCCACTGGCCTTCTTGCTTTTCCTAGACTGTGCCAGGCCCTCTCCTGTCTTTTACACCAGTGTATTTGGTTTGCATCCCCTACTTGGAAAACTATTTCCCTAGATAACCTTATGGCTCACTACATCACCTCCTCTGAACTACTGCTCAAAAATCAACTTTGGTCGGCCATTTTGTATCAGCTTCCTGTGGGACGCGGTGTGGCCATTGGGTCGGAAAAGCGGGTGATTTTTCTTCTTGCTTTTGTTCCTTCTTTTTTCTCTTCTTTTTTACTTTGTTGGTAGAGTGCAGTTATGGGTCGCAAAAAGAAGCAGCTGAAGCCATGGTGCTGGTATTGTAATAGAGATTTTGATGATGAAAAAATTCTCAGACAGCACCAAAAAGCAAAGCATTTTAAATGCCATATATGTCATAAGAAATTATACACAGGACCAGGCTTGGCTATTCATTGTATGCAGGTACATTAATGCTGGCAATTTAAAAAGATGGGAATCTTCGACAGTTGTCAGAGGATTACAACTGAGAATTCTGAAAAATGCAATGTAATTAAATGGTCATTTTCAATATCTATGAGACTACATGAAAGACATAACTAAGTTTTGAAACATGCTTATCTTCTATTCCACTTACACTTGCTGTAAAAACTGCATTCCATGCCATGCCTGAAATGTTCCAAAGTTCAATTCTGTGATTAAATTGCAACCAAGATTTCTAAAAAACAAAAAAGCCAAAGAAGAAGACAACTGCTTCAGTTGTACAGTGGTGGGACAACAAAAACAACATGAACTTGGATTCTTACTTGAAAACAGCCATCCTTTACAACAGATCGTGAGGTGAAAGTGATGTGCTATCTGCCAATGAAGGAAGATCACTAGCCTCCTCAGAGGATTCTGGAGACGGAGTTGGGAGTTGTGGCTGAATTGGTGAAAGTTCAGCATTCGCAAGGGGCATTACAGGAGGAACTGAGCTCTCCTGCTGGCTTGGAGAAGGTTCCTCAGGAAGCTCTTCTGGCTGAGTTGTAGCCCCTTGATTGACTGGAGAAAGTTCATCCTTTTCCGAGGGTTCTGGCATCTGAGTTGTAATCTCATGCTGGTTTTTCAAAGCTTCAGACTGTTCAGAGGACACTGAGGACTGAGCTGGTTGTTCCTGCTGGGGTGGAGGAAGTTCAAACTCTTCAGTATGCTCTGAGGCCTGTACTGGAGCAGCCATGTGAATTCCAGAAGGTTGAGCCTCCCCAGGAGACACAGAAGGCTGAACTGTTTGTTCCTTCTCACTGAGAGAAGGTTCTGCCCCTTCAGCATACTCTGAAGGCTGAGTTAGAGCAGATGCAGCCTCCTGGGCTGGCTCTGGAGTTATGGTAATTGCCACTCCACAGGCTTACTTGTTTCTCTGGCCAAGTTATCCTGTTGTGCTTGATTCTGAATGGGAGCTTGAACTGTCACCTCTGGAGCTTGAACTGGAACCTCTTGCTCAGCTGAAGGCTTGACTTCCTCAGATGGCTTTGCAGGCTGAACTGGAGCTTCTGTCTGGCTTCCAGAAGGTTCCAATTCCTCAGAAGACTCAGAAGGTTGAGCTGGCTGTTCTTGCTCACTGGGAGAAGTTTCAGTCTCTGAAAGAGGGCCTGAAGGCTGAGGTGGGACCACTTGCTGGGTTAAAGAAGGTTGAAGCTCCTCACCATTGTCTGGAGGCTGAACTGGGGACTGCAGATGGGTTCCAGAAGTTTCAGCCTCCCCAGGAGATTCAGAAGGCTCAGCTGGGGTCTGTGGCTGGGCTAGAGAAGATGCAGCCTTCTTGGTAGGCTCTGATGTCATGGTGGTTTCCACATCCACAGGCTTACCTGTAACACTGGGCAAGATAGTTTGTTGAGCTTCATCCTGAGCTGGAGGTTGAACTGTCACCTCCTGATTTGGTAGAGTTGGAGCTGTGTTCTCCATAGGGGACTCTGGAGCTTCATCTGTAGGATCTTGCTCAACAGGAGGTTTGACTTCTTCTAGAGGAGTTGCAGGCTGAACTGGGGCTTCCATTTGGCTTCCAGAAGGTTCAGTGTCTTCAGGGAGCTCTGAAGTCTGAGCTGGAGCCTCTTGTTGGGTGGATGAGGGTGTTACGTCCTCAGTACTCTCTGAGGCCTGCTTCTGCCTTGGAGAAGGCTCTGGAGTTAGTGTAACCTCCAGATCGATATGTTTCACGGTGACTTTTGGCAAGTCTGAGGGCTGAGCTTCATTCATACTTGGAGATGGAGCATTTACCTCACAGTGCACTGATTGCTCTACCTCCGCACTACCAAGTTGTTGAACTGGGGCTTCTTGCTGGACTGCAGAAGGTTCAACTTGCTCAAGGGGCTCTGGAGGCTCATCTGTGCTCTTCTGAGGTTTCAGAGGAGGGCTGTCAGAATCAGCTGTGCTCAGACCTGGATCTGTGTCATCATCCTGCAAGGGTTGTGTCTGAAGCTGAAGGTTTGCAAATTGGTATGGAGTTCCAACCACAGTCTCATCAAGTCCGTGATGCTGAGCTACATACTTTTTCAGTTTCCA